CTAATGAGCTATAATTTTTGTAAAGTGAATACTTGACGTTCAAATTGTAATCAGTTTATACGTAGTTTTATTGGTTCGTACTGATCATTTTTAAAGAAATGAAATATCCTATGCTTGTAGTGATTGTCACAAAATATTGTATTCCCAGTAGTTGAAGGTTTTGTACAAGAATGAACGGTATAACCTCAGTGTGTCACGGTCATATATATTTCTGTTCACAGTGAAGGTGGTTAAAATTCAAATATTTCTATCTCTTTAGTGAGTTTCATAAATTTCAATAATCCATGGTTAGAGACCCTGAATGACATGGCTCAAAACTGTTTACAATGGCGCAGATGCATTTTCTCTTTGTGTTCTATGAAATTATAACCTTCTGAATTAATCACCATCTCTATCTTTCTCTTTCTAAATATACCTCAATGAATTATACTTCTTGAATAGCATCTTCGAACTTTAATCTCTCCGATTACTTCTAATACTTTTACTACGTCTATTACTATGGGATTTGAATTGACAATTATATCTGTGTTAACTTGGTATTGCAACTTGAACTGCTGTTCTTACGTGCAAAGTTCTACGTTGCCGTTGATGATGATGATGACTTCTCCTTCACAGAGAAAAATATAATCGTAACTGATTTTTAGATACCTTAAACTGTTCTTTGAAACATACACTACATGGCTTTATTTTTAAATTTATAACTTCCAACCTTAATTTTGTCTTCATTTTATTAAGTAAGAAACCACTTGTCATTAAGCAATGCTGATAACAATATTTTTTTCACACATGATATTTTAGATCTATTGTGGAAATAAGAATATCATAAGGAGTAAAGTATATGCATACGTATGTGATATTCAACTGCTTTTTGAATTATTTCAAAGTTTGGCGTAACGCAGACGAGTTCCTGAGAAATCATTCATCTAAATTACCATAAAATGAAGCCTCCTTGCCCATGACTTAGGCTAGCTCAGTTTACTGGAGCAAGCCTACAGACAAGGCAAAGTAGCTACAAACAAGTAGTTGGATTCTTACTTGTTTGTTCACTTGCTAATGTAAATTCTAATATGCACACATTTTATTCATGAGGGGACACCTTAGTACATAGCTCGGTAAAGAAAAGTGCAGAGGTATAAAATATTTATTTTTGTCAAAATCAAGAAATATCAAACTCATACCATTCATTGTTTCGAATCGTACACAAAAAGTGTGCAGACATCTTATCCTAATTGTAGAATTATTCAAAAGCCTAGATCATTATGACAGTTGAGTCGATGAGATGACGTCATTTTAGACAGTGACATTTATGACTCAAAGACAACTTTATTTAGTTAAAGCACAGCAGAAGTGTAGATATAACAACTGTGATGTGTAGATGTAAAATAATAAATGTGGGAAAAAGTTTCTACCCGTAGACGTCGTAATGACTTATTGAGTACTTTCAAATTACATTCTCCCTTGAATATCAGATAGTTGTGAAACTCGTCGCCTAGTCAAACCGGTTTATTAACAGTATTCGAATCAGTTATATAAGTCAGTGAGTGATTCATAAAATATAAATCAATAACTGAGAAGTAACCGATAATTTAAACAATTATCTGTTATATTAAGAAATAAAAGAGGTTCTTTTAAGTCATTATTTTATTATACTAAGTATAAGCTGTATTTATGTGGACTAAGAAAATATACCTATTACCGTTTATATCAGTGAAATTCATAAAAGAATGATATCGAGAATAGGAGTCACAACTTTTCAAAAGAAATGAGACGTATTAAAGTGCATCACAGATGAACGTCTTCTGATTTCAGATGATAATAAACAAGTCCGAATTCAGTTTTGAATACAACTTCAACTTAACTGTATTTTTATCAGTGTATGGCGAGCGCATAACTAGAGCACAAACAAACTACAAGACCGTGGTTTTTATGAGGACATCCAACACGGAAGTTAATCTAGTATTGGATGCAATTATTGACACACCGTAAAGTAAGCATATCAACAGATCCATAGATGAAGTTGCAGTAATTAGCTAATACATGAAGCACTCATTGTTTAAGATAAGGTTGTTGTAACTAATAGAGCATACTATCAATCTCTTTATGCCAATTCTCATTTTCATTTATAATGAACTTTATTTACTCATTTGAGTTCTACTAAAATCATTCATCTAGCAATCATTTACTAGGCCATTAATTTTCTACATATTCTGGATTTTGATCCAATCTGATAATTTGTTTATCACTCTATCTGACTTATCATTCATTATAAACTGGACAAATTATTAATTACACTCATTCCGAACATACAAACGAACATACGAAATGTGTCCATTAAATTAATCATTTGTGTATAAATATTATTGCTTAACATTTTGAAATGAAAACGTCGAGAAGGAGAAAATATTCCTTTCTAGTTTGTTCATTTCTTGAATACTATTTTTCTTTTCTTCTTCTTATTCATCTTCAAATTAATCGAGTTTAAATTTTGCTTCGGTTAGTTTGTTTCCCAGTAATGCAACTAAAAATATTATCAATTCATAAAATTATGAGATTTTTTATATTTTGTTAACTAAGCGGAAAAATAAAATAAATCTTCAATAATCATGGTTGAATAAAATGAATTTGTTTTTTCAATGAGCAAAAAAAAAGAAAATTACATAGAAAAAGTAGATTTGCAAAGAATGAATTTTTCTCTTTTTTTTTAAAAAATTTTGTTTAAAAGCTTTTTTTTCTTTTTCGCCTAGTTAAATCTCAACAAAATGATGAAAAATGTTATAGTATTTCCGGTCAAGATTTTAACAGATACTGACTAATCTAATAATGTAAATGAATAAAATGAGTGAGTGAGTGGGATGTTACATGGAGTTAGTTATATTCTCTCAAGTTTCGTGTATACCACCAGGAAAACAAGTACAATCTCAGAACTAAGGAAATATGAATTTTTTTTTATCGAAAAAATTGAAATTGATAAATGGCGTCAAGCCAAAAAAAAACTGATGTCAACCAGCCATCGTCAAGCTTTATTCTTAGTGTTGATAATTGATGAAACACTAATGCAATAAAGTTTCATCTCATATTCTTGTCTAGTTATTTTGAAAATTTATGTTGTGTTGTGTTTTGAAGAACACATTTGAACTGTGAATAAATTTTTTTTATCAACTAGGTAGCAAGTTATCCGAGACTATTAATTATCAAGATAGATAATCAGTTGACTTTGTGTAGATATATTTCATACCTTTCGATCAATGTTAGGCATATTAGTTTAAAAACCATTTAGCATTAGTCAGTTAGATTGGTTGATTATACAATACTCACTGATTTTGAGCTCCTAGAACTCTGTCATGTATTGAACTCTGAATGTTTAGTCTTTTTGGCAAGCATGTAATATTTAAACTATGGAGCTAGTGTATAATTACATTTTCACCATTTCTATTGCTTTTAGTGTAATAATTCTTTTTTTTTCTGAAACATTCAAATTACGATTGAATGATTGTGGGCATAGTTGCTAACTGCTCATGCATAAATTTGTTAATATGCTTCATTCAACAGTCGGACATAAAACAACGCATCATACGTGTTTTATGCATTAATCGGTATTTGAATCTGTCTGTAACATTGCTTTTATCTTTTATATTGAGGTAATTTGTTGAAATATATATGCGTTTAATGATATTATGTTTGTTTGTTTGTTTTTTGGAGGTTGCTACGAGCAACTCATCAGATGGCCCTTGAAAATAACGAACATATAAGCCAAATTATGGACCGCTAAACATTACAATCGTAACTGATAATGCAAATAAAACTAGATAAAGAATAGAAAAGCTTTCTTTTGACTGCTTTTCATACAATTTCCATAAACTTGTAAAATAACAGCAGTTTGTCTAAACATTAAAACGTATTTTAAAATTTACTGACTACCACCATAAGAGGTATGATACAAAGTTGAGTTCTGGCTTTCAAATATTTACTTAACACTAATTTTCTTACTAAAAGTGAGGTATAATCACTAATTCACCTTGGGATTCCCCCTTAAGATTATTTGAAATGTGTGTGTTTTTCAGTAAATCTGTCAAGACCAGTTCTTTTTTTCGAAAAAAGCATAAATAGATGCTTTCATATAATTATATTTCCTTAGTTAACACATACTAATTATCACTTATAAGGATCATCACTATTTTCATTTGTCCCTCGCTTTACTTCGTTTGCCTAGTATTCATTAATTTGAATATTTTTAAGGGTAATCTTTACCTATCATTGGCAGTTCAGTTAGATGTTGGTATTAATATAGATGTATATGTACTTATTCAAATTATAGACCAAACTAGCAATCACAAACAACTTTTTGATAGTGAAGGCGTCTCGTTACATGTTTGCACAGACCTAAATGGTATAACTTCGAATATTTATTTAGAGTACCGCTTATGGATACGAAGAGCTATAAAGAAACTCTTGGATTATTTGGCCATCTATTTACCAGACTTTCAAACTGTCGACAGTACTAAATCTAGAGTTTTCCTATTCTGAAGTAATGATTAACAACTTAATACGTATTAGTGGGAATATAAGTCATTTATTAGTGTTTCCACTGTGTTACTCGTTAGTTTTATAATTCAATCGTTGTAGTGTTCAATCAGTACAAGATTGTTGAAACTCCTAAAAGTCAGAATTCAACACCAGTTAGTTCTTCAAGACATACATGAAGTTAGAATAATAAATAAAACAGATATTACATTTATTTTCATGATTAAATAAAGCAAATAATAATAATAATATATTTTTTCCTTTATAACCGAATGTTTTAACGAGGTTAAAGAATCCTCAAAACACATGAATACTTAAAAATATAAAACACACAAAGAACTGTAAGAATAAAATTTGTACAATCTATATTCATATTTATAAATCACACATATTATAGCTTACATCATCATAAAGTATTTTCATGAGTTTATTCGGGTGAGATTTTGGTCAGTCTCTAAAGGTCGATGGATTCTGTTCATTTACGTAGGTTTTGAAGTTTTACAACAAACCGAACGATTACGATATTGTGTACATTCTTCTCCAGCAATTTTTCGAAATAATGGATTAGACGCCATGTAAATAAATGCATTTAATGTGGAATCTAAGTAAATCAACAAATTCGCAATAACTGACAATGTTAAATCAATCAGTGGATAGTCTTGTTCTAAGTAAGGATTTAATATTTTGCTGAAAAATGCTGGAGTTTCTAAAATAAAAAATGTTATACAGACAGCAAACATCAACTTGTCACCTGATGGAGCTGGTCTTTCAGTTATCTCTTTTGCCAAATCATTTGAATTACGTGGTAAAAGATTTTGATTTTGATTACTATTATTATTATTATTATTATTATTATTATTATTAGTAGTAGTAGTAGTATTAGAGTTCTTTAAATTTGATTGATTAACATCTATTTCCATTGCTTGACTTTTTAATAAATTTCTAGCTGAACGTTTTTCTTTTTCTCGATGGAATTTCCGACGTTTTGCTATAATTCTAATGACAAATGCGCTTAATACACAGACGCATATAACTGGACCACCAGATTGTACAATAAACATTACTAAACCTAAATACAAAATTTGATATAATTTATAATTGATTAATAAGGGAAAATCTTTAGATACATTTCCTGAAATATAACAAACAACTATTCCACTTTCAAATATTCTTGGTATAACAATTAAACATGATAAAAAAAATATAATCATCAGTATATAACGGATACGTTGACGTGGAAATGCACTAGTTGTGCCGATAGGACGACAAATTTGATCATAACGATATGCTGCCAACAGAACAACGGACCAATTACGTGATATTTGAAATGCTACTAAAAATCTACTAGATATTGTCATGATAAAAAATGAGCATATAGTTTTAATGTAAGCATTTGTTGCCGTAAAATTTTGCTCAAAACCATTTTCATGACTGATCTGTTGATCATTCAATGGAAACTTGCCATCAGTCGCATTGTCCATATTAAATAAATTTTGATGTGAATAAGATGATGTTGAATTTTGTGAGAAAATTAATGCATGTATAAATAAACTTAATCCCATGCCAAGTTCAATAATGGATAATCCTTTCAATATTCTACTCATTACTGATTTTTTCCATGCACTATGATTAAATATATGAACGCATAGACCATTTAATATAGTATTTAATGGGCCTAATAGTAAACCTATAGCACGATAAAAACTGAACAAACCGGAAACGGGTAACGATTCCATTTCGGTACATGTTGCACTTTTATCGATTATAAATAAATTTAGAATGAAAGGATTCAATGTATCTTCATTGTATTCAGTGATATTCATCATAATTCGGTAAAATTTACGGTTGATGAAATAAGTTGTTCAGTAAGAGTATGGGTATCTTGTATTTCAGTATGGCTGCCTTTTTGAATAGCTTTTTAATTTCATAGTTCAATCAGTAAGTTGTTAGATAATCCCAGTATCTGCAATCATATAAAATAGAGATTTACCATGGTGTTTTTGTATTATGAATAATAAATAAAAAGGTATTTGAATGAATTCAGACAATTGAAATGCATTCATAAAAATGCTAAAGGACAGTTTAATCATAAATCATTGTTTTTAAGCTCAAATAATTGATTTCTACATCAGATTATTAAAATTGCTTGCAGAAACGAAGTATTGATTTATGTAGAATAGAAAGTCTAGAAAACCGCATCGTATAGCATTCAAAGTTGGTTTATGCAGTGAGCGATTTGCATTATTTACTTGGTATATGATACAAAAAACAAAATCAAAAAGTTAGTTGAAGTATTTAGTATCATATTTGCTGTAAAACTCTATCAATTGAAAAGGATGCATAACCACTTTGAAGGAAGATAAGTTCATTTTAATAATTACACATCCACCTTGAATAGAGTTGTTTCAGTATCTAGAATTGAATCGGATAAAATCACATTATTTTACTTTTGACTGAGTACAATTAGATGAGTAGTCAGTCAAAAACGCAGAAGCAGGATTATTTGAGGCTACAAGTATGTATGTAGATCCTCACAGAAAATAATGTCAAGAATACCAAAACATATGTTTACAACTACACAACGAACTATCTTACAGAAAAGTTTGATTTTCAATTGACAAATTCTTCGTAGTTGTTCAATAATAGTTTCATTGTTTTGAAAAAAAATCAACAAAAGTAAGTAATTTAGCTAATGACTTTATATATTTAATTTATCTGGTTGGCTTTTTGGTGATGCTTAATTTGAAATAAAATATGGACTTTGTTTACTCTAAATTAACAGTTTGATAAGAAACATATTGATGGGAACTATCATCAATCATTCATGGACAATAAGACTTTGGAGTGATCTTCACTCACAAGCTGATCAATATAAAGTTTAAAAACCAAACATTTTAAATAATTTAAAAATAGTAAAAACGCCTTAATCAGAAAAATCATTTCTGTTCAAATTGTAGTGACACGTAGATGATATGAAACGATACAAGTGCACACACACACACAAACATATCATCTGATTAGGAAGAATATTCAATGATTCATTCAAACATTGAACAAATAAATTACAGTTCTTTACAAAACTTCATTCTGAATGTGAATCAACTGAATAGAAAAAGTGATATTTATTAAAGTTGATATACAATAGTTTGATTGGATAACAGTTGACAATTACATGACACACCACCTGGTAATCTTTTCTTTATCACGTATGATCCAAATATATCAGCTGTTCTAAAAACGATATATAAACAATCGTTGTTATATTCCAATGTATAAATGAGGCAGGATTAATTGATGAACTGATTTAATTATACGGCTTGATAATTACAACTTATATACTTTTTTAAATTTTTAATCCACTTTCCTAGTAAAACAACTCAGCTAGGTTTTACTCTAGAGATTAGTGACTATGATTTATTTGATAGAGATATTTGTATCCACTGGCCAATTTAAGAAACATTGAAAACATAACATAATAAGAACACGAAGATCTATTGTGAAAGCTCACTTTGACGTCAACAATGAAGTTAGAAAAACACAGAATTAGAATGGATAGAATGTAGCCCGCAGTGGATTCCAGGACGTGCGTTTCATCCTATTTGAAAAGCGTTAGCTCGTTCGCCAGCATCCCAGAGTTACTATTCTCTCCGGTACTAGAACCCAGTTCCATTTGCTCCAAACACCACCTAATTGTTCATTTAGCTGCTGAGTTTGATAAATAATATTCAGACTTCAGTCAAAGTATCAACATCGGGTTAATCAAAACAATTTCAAATTGAATCCATTCTCAAACCGTTGACTATATAGAGTCAGAAGTTAAGTGGATAATGAGGTGGCGTTTGGAAAATGTGGTACTTGGTTCAAGTCCTGAAGTAATAATAATCTCTAGGATACAGGCATATCCGGCTGATGAGTCCCAGTCAGGATGAGATGCGCTCCCTCGATTCCACTGCTAATCGTATTTTATCCATTCTTTGTAAACTTGTGTCATAATGGCTGCTAGAACAAGGACTTATATCTAACATCTAATAAGCCTGATCGAATTTCAGTCAAAATATAAACAACGGGATAATCCAAACTACTTTAAATTGGATGAAATCATTAAAAGCCGAAAAATGCATTTAATTCCCGTTCAGAGCCTACAAAACAGATTACTGTCACCTTAATACTAGCTAAATAGGTTAAAAGATTGATGTAAATGAATCTCACGAAAGATATGAAGACAATGACTGTTACTTTTATGTAAACCTTGAAGAAGAGTACCACTTTTTATCAGTCCGTACTAATTACACTGTGTACTGACGTTTCTTTATAAAGTATACTTACAAATCATTTTTAATTTAAACAGCTGTCAATAAAAAACGAATAAGGAAAAAGTAGTTGAATTTAAAAGAATATCATGTTGTAAACTAGTTTTGTATTCATAATCTCTACTCTGCAGGATATATACCAGTGAACTGGTCACATGAAGAGAGAAGCACGTATTGTAAAATATCAGCCAAATTGTGTGACAATGGTATGAATGACATTGTTTCATCAATTTTAAATAAATACTGTTTTCTCTGAATTGTTATAGTTAATCGATCTACTGGACAAAAACTAGTGTTGTTTTATTGAAAACTTTTAATGAAAGTCTTCATAGATAATGTGTAGTTTTAATCTATTATGCTGGTTTTACCTTTGTAGCATACTTGATTGAACTCTGCCCGTCGTGTTTACTTGTAAATGACATTCAAACTGAAACAAGACTGAATCAATATACCTGATAATAATGATTAACAAGTTCACAGAACCAATATTTTTAAAAAAGAGTTATATGAAAATGTCTACTGGGTTTATAGGGTTTTATACCTGAAATAGCATTATTGTCAGTCAGTCAGTCAGTTGCAACGCAGAACTTCGTACGTATGTACATAAGTTCAGGTTGCCATACCACATGAGCACAGACAAGCAAATATCAAATCCAATCCCATAGTGATAGAGATAGTAGGGGTATAATTGGTAATGAAGAAGACTAGGGTTCGAAGATATTATTCAAGAAGTATAATTCAGTGAGATAAGGTTAGAAAGACAAAGGTAGAGGTGCTGACGAATCCGGAAGATTAGGATTTGAGAGAGCACAACGAATGGATGCACTTGCGCCAATGCAAACGATTTTGAGCCATGTCATTCAAGGTCTCTAACCATTGGTGACTTTCGTCTCGCGGACCCCAACCAGGTAGTCTACATCTACCAACATGACTCACTCCACATGTCAGTGTAGGATTAGTGTAGAATACTATTTGATGTTACGGATTGAGACAGAAAAGTTCCGTAAACATTTTACATATATTTCTTTCGTACACATTTACATACAATAAATTAAATTACAGGAAACTATTCAAGTCTTATCCATTCGGTAATACAGAATAATGTCATCAAATCAATCTGTCGGAGGATTAAACCTGAAATACGATAATTTTAGTTCAAATCTCGTTATTGGAAGAAAGAATTATGAACAAATAAAATTATTGGTTTTATTTAACAAAAGAAAGACCTTAGGAAATTATTTATGTTCAAAACAGTGTTCATTACATTAGTACTCCGAAATTATGTTATATGTTAGGGATTGGTTTTTGATCACAAAGAGACACTTGTTAATTAATGACCTTAGTTAATGAACTGCAGCTCACTACAAAATAAACCATCTTTAAATAGCTGGACAGCTACAGGGTACATTTTTACTACCACAGTTGTCAAAATGTGTTCTTTATTTTTATATAAATATCAAGCTATGTAGCTTATCGATGGAGATTTAACCACAAATATAGGTCACAAATAAAAGTTCTTTTCATAAGATCAGTGTAGAATTTTGAAATACCTACTCGCATTAAGTAAAAAAGCCAAACTGCTTTGTCTCACAGTACATTAGGCGTAGGCACCGATAATAAAATATAAACATTACACTCAGAATGTCATTTTTATGATTATCTATGAAATTCTTACTTGTAATTTAACTGTTTATCTGCTCATTCATTTGTACTCTCCCACAGTATGCTGCCGCAGATAATGTCAGGCCACCGGATCCCGAGTATTTTGCATAGACAACTATTAATGAATACTTATATCTCACAGTAGAACTATCTTGACATTTGTATTGAAAATTGTGACTTTGGTGTCTGTTGATAGCTGTTTTGAGTTAAAGATGTTGTTCACTTGTAGAGATTCTATCCTTGCTTTGTCAATCCGCTCCTTCACATCTGCATCAGATCCACCTTTCTCACCAATTTCTCTGCCTAGATATGTAGAAGTTTTTACTTCTTCCAAAGTTTCTCCTTGGAGTTTGATCTGGTTGGTGCATGTCGTGTTGCATCGTAGAATCTTGCTTGTCTGTTTACGTATGTTGAGACCTGATGATGCTGAGGCTTTTGTTGCACTGGTCATCTTCTCATACATATGCTGTTGCGTGAGCGACGAAATCTGTCCTGTTTAGCATCAATAGAGTCCTTCATTCTGTTTAACAACACGCTGTTGAAGACTTTGAGAGAAGAGTGATGCCTGCGTAGTTCACACACTTGCTGAGATCACCTTTTTTGTATCTTCATGAGTTATCCTGTTTTCAGATCTGTCGACACTTGTTCCTAATCGCAAGAAGTTTTAGCTAGCAGTGAACATGCTTATATTTGTGTAGGTTTATTTATCACGGTACAGTTGGAAGATAAAGTTTTTTCTAAATTATTTATAACGGTTGTGTTAGGTCAACTAACTGAGTGTAAACGCAAATGCACTTTCTTTGATTATGCTCTATGTTTTGCTTATAGTGGATAATTATATTTTGATTTATAGT